AGTGCGGTAAGAAACGTGTTTCATTTTAAATCTGATATAGATGACATTTAACTGTATCCTGATCATATGTTCTGATCTTGTATTACTTGCAAGTTATTGGAGAGCTTATTTATTTACATTTTCCCGTAAAATTACCCATTTTGATATACATTAGGTTGATGAATTCAGTTACTCAATATGATTTTGACTTCATGCATGTTCTCAAAATAATTGAAAATTTAAAATAAAAGAAAAAAAAAACTTAAATTTAATTTTTTACAGTCAAACGGGAAATCCTAGCAATAATTTGAAAGATCCGGACTGACAACCTTATTGTCAAGGCCGAAGCATGAGATAACAGGCATAATTTAAAGTAAAGTTTGCGCCCTACCTATTTATGTAATTCTGCGTAAATCTTGTAAATCCTGTAAATAGCACTTAACATTAGATTAAGGCTATACTTACTATCTTTGTATCTTTGCTTATTATTAATAAAAGACAGTGGTCCAGATAAAGCGATTTTTTGGCCTAACCGACAGATCTTCCTATCAGAATTTTAAAAAAAAGAGAGAAGTAGGAAAAGATGCGGTTCGTAATTCTACGATCACTAGCGCAGAGACTAGGAGGATACCCCAGCCTTGTAGTGCTTTATTCTAACTGGCGGAGCAAGTGAGTGAGTGAGTGAGTGAGTGCACCGCTATGATGGCTTCCGACCACGGACATGAACCAAACGGAATTATATACCATCACGGCGGGGAAGAAGACTCCAGAGTAACAAGGTTGAATATTATTATACTAATAACAGTTTTTACATATTGATAACTGCAAGGCACTAAGCGTTATTCTGGTTATCTGCTTTAAGTTCTGAACATTTGGAAACATTATAATATTATCCACGGTTGTTTCTGCTTAGGCAGTGTCTTGAGATTTTCTCTATTTTATCAAGGGCTATTCTGTTTTTGAGTGTGTTAGTCGTCCACATTGTCCAGGCACAGTCTGCTGGTTTCTTGAAGTGCCCGGTTCTTGTATGTACACAATGGAAGTAATAATGGTCCGTGTCGCCTTCCTCTCCGCATTCGCAGAAAGGAGTATCCCTAAGTCTGAATCTGTTCAGGTATACTGGGAATGGTCCATGACCTGTCAAGAACTGTGTTAGGCTAGCACAGTGGGTCTTTATTTCCATGTTAACTTTTGGCAGTAAGCGAAATGTCCTTCGTCCTACCTCTGCCTCTGTCCATCTACTTTGCCAATTTTGTAGCAGACTTGTCAAAGTTTTTCGCTTAATATGAGACCAAGGAAGTTTAGTTGATCTTTCTAATATATCCGTGCCGTTGGCTGCCTGCTAGGCCAGTAGGTCAGCGGCTTCATTGCCTTGAATCCCTGCGTGTGCGGGAACCCATTTTAAAGTGGGTCTTTGCGAAATAGGCATTGTCAGAAGCTGTTTCTGAATTCTGTATACCAAAGTACTCCGACTGTTTTGACTTGCGATGGCCGCCAGACTTGATGCCGAATCACTGAGTATGGAGAATTTCTCCTGTTGACATGTGTTCGCATCTCTAATCGCAGCACTGATAGCTAGAAGCTCTGCTTGGTATACCGAGCTGTTCAAGCCTTATTCCTTTTCCACTCGAATGTTACAACTCCATTTTCTACTCTGCAGAAGGCGCTGCCCGTGCCGTTCTCAGTTTTGGAGCCATCTGTGAAAAGGTTATTACTGTACCTCTGAATTGGTTGATCGTTTATACTGATATTGTCGGAGGGATTAAAAGCTTCTGGATGAAAGTTTTTGCAGTTGTTTTGATCCTCGTAGTCCGAGTGGTGATAACTATGACCTCAGAGTGTTGAAGTTTGACCCAGCCTGGTAACCCTTACGATAGCTGCCTCCCTTTCTACTATCAAATCTAGGGGAGGAATTCCTGCTAGTTATTGTAGGGCTAGTGTTGACGTGGTACGGTAGGCCCTGCATACTTGAAGTCTCTGAATAGAGAGCAGGGATCTTTTCATATGAGAGGTAAGTTCGCCAGCCCAGATTGCTGCTCCGTAAGTTATTACTCTTTCTGTAATGGTTCTATGCCAAATTTTTAGTAGCTTAGATGAGATACCCCATTTATGTGAAGTCATGCGTCTCGTGTTGTTGCTTAGGATGCTAATTCGAGTCTTAAGATTCCTGACATGTGGCATCCAAGAAAGTCTGTTGTCGAGTAATAGCCCAAGATATTTCAATAGGGGAAACATTTTACCGGTATCCCATAGAGTTTAATGCTTGGGTTGCGTCTTAGCTGCCTGCTGCGTCTTATGAGTAAAGCTTTAGTTTTCTCTGCCGAAATCTGAAGCTTATGTGCTCTGGCCCATTGGGAGAACAAATCAAGACAGTATTGAGATCTCATTTCGAGGTTACTCCTTCCTGCCACAACTAGCGTAAATCGTCCGCATAGGCTATGATTCGAGCGTATTCTACGCTCTCAAACTGACGAAATGCCGAGTTTGCCACTATATTCCACAGTGTTGATCCAAGGCATGACCCCTGTGGGCATCCACTAAAGACATTTTTGACATAAATGCCGCTGTCTGATGTTACTTGTACACTTCGATCCCTGAAGGTCCGAGCGAAGGATGATAATAATGGCTGTTGGGCAGGCCATGTTGTGCAGCAAATTTATTACGTCTGGCCACCAAAGGGAGTCAAAGGCTCCCTTGATGTCAATGGCTGTTGCCAGTGAGTGCAAATTGTTATCCTTGTTCTGTTTGATAGTGGCCATTAAGTCTTTTATGGCATGTTCAGTTGAGTTGTCCATTCGGAATCCATATTGGTTGGGATGCAGGGCGTTGTTCCTTTGAAGGAATAAGTCCAGTCTGTAAAGAATTACTCTTTCCAATACCTTACCGAGCGCTGGCAGTAGACATACTGGACTGTAAGATGAAGGTTCTGCCGGAGTTTTGCCTGATTTTAGGAATAACGCCACATCTGCTAACTTCATATTTTTAGGAAAGTACTGATGTTTCCAGCAAGCTGAAATGACCGCAAGGAATAGCTTTGGGAATTCCCGGTGTATCTCTCTAATGATGATATTATCAATTCCATCCAGACCTGGAGCTTTTTTGGGTGCCAGAGTACGTATGATGCTGTCCACTTCCATTTGCGTAGGAGGGGTTTCGTCTCTTCTGGTAACTTGGCGAAATTTCATGCTGTAGTTTTTCTCGCTTCCTCTTGCTCCTCTAAGAAATCCTCTTCATCATCATCAGAAAAAACTGCATTTATGATTTCACTGATTATTTCGTTGTTGGATGAGGCAGTGCTATTCACCATAGGCGAAAGGGTCGTAGGACGAAACACCTTGCTATATGTTATCTTTTAAGTAGGTCCAAAGGCTTTAGTGACATTACTACAGTAAGTTCTCCATGAGATTAACTTGGCCTCTTTAATTTTTCTTTTATATAAAGCTCTGGCTTTATTGTATGTTATCATTTTGAGTTGCAAATGAGAAATAGTGAGAGTAAATCACTTATACAAAGCAAAATGAGGTAATTCTTGAAGGAAAACTCGAGTGGCAACATCGTACTTGACAATATGTTTTGGAAACAGTAAACTATTACTTATTTTGGAATTTCGGTAGTGGGAATGTGAGTAGGTAAGCCATCGAAAATAGAAGTTTTAAAAAGACCTATTATAAGGCGCTGGAAATGATAAATTAATTAATGTCAAATTATGTGCTTTATAGTTTTAAGAAGTTTAAAGGCGTGAGCAACAGATTATCTGCTAAGCAAATTAATGCCTTCCTGAAGTACTTTCTAAGGAAATAGCCTTCACATTAGACTTCTGAAAAGCCATGAAAATTCTTACATAGTCAGCCCATTCATACGGTAAGTTTTATTTTTTTTTTTTTCAATAAATATTTTTGCTTGCGAAAGTTGTAATGCACGTTTGCATTAATGTAAAAACTTTTAGCGCGTATTATACTATATTTGTGTAGTAAAAACCGTGGTTCCTGTCATCTATCGAAAGAAATAGGACACTCATTCAATTTTTGTGTAGAGGCACTGTAAAATCACAAGAAGATTTTGTCTACTCATGTGCTTTATATTGTATTTTTGTTCTTCTTTCTTAGATATGATTATTTCCATTGATTTTGTGTCATGAACATGTACACGAAATGCTGTTTTAAATTTTAGATAAGCGATCAGCTGGGAGCCCCGAACGAATTAATCCGCTTTGCAGTAATTTCTATAGGGAAACGTGTTTTGGGTACTAAATAATTTTTGAAAACGATTTAAATTCGTATAGTTTGTTTTCGTTTATTTGAAAATGGCAAAGCATTCGAGAGCAATTTGCTGAAAAAAAGAAATCCTTCGTTTAAAGAGTTTCGAAGGGAAAAATGTCTCGTAGCCACGTTACGCATGTGAAAACCTACGAAAACGCCCATGCAGCCAACATCTTAATTGGAATTCGAACGGCGAACCCAACTACCAGTGTTCACGACCTCAATACTCGGTCGCTCGTGGACCATGCAGCCAGCTTTATTAATTGTAATTCGAACGCCGGACCAAACTACCAGTGCTCACGACTTTAACCCTGGGCCGCTTGTGCGCTCGAGATTTCATTATACATCAGATTTTAATTTGTATAAGCACCTCTGATTCTTCCGGTTAGTTAATGCAAACAGCTTATTCTAACAGGTGTGATGTCTAATCAGGAGATAGGAAGTATAATTTTTCTTTTGTTACGCATATTATTCCGGATTTCTTATACTCATGATTTGAAACATAAGCGATTTACGTTAATTGCGTTCTTATTACAGATTTATTACACAATTCAATAATTTTGAACCCATTCTAAGGAAGTGATTAAAAGCTGTACGTTTCCTTTCTCTTCCAAATTATTTTGAAATATGAAAAGGATTTGTTTTGCATTATAATTTTTTGCGACACGTTTTCTACAGTTAAGCTGCATGTGTAATATCTAATAGGCATCCTGTCAGACACAGTGATCGCGAAGGAAGTAGATTACATATTTCCGCAACTTAATTAGGTATGTATAAAAAAGCGATTAATTTTAATGTTATCTAAAATATATAAAGCTTTCAGACTCTATTCAGGTTTTTTCTTTTTCATAGAATACGCAAGTCAACATGTGGGTCCTCTTTGTAACCGTTTTGCTCATCGCTTCTGCTGGTAAGATATACGTTGTTTAATAAACTAATATTCGCAGTTTAATTAAAGTATGAATATCTTTATAATAAGAAAGAGGTACAGTTTCTTCACAATTGTAGTATTTTCTCAAGTATGACAACCAATTTATGGTTTGGTTTGGTTTGGTTTATTTAATTATGGCAAAACACACTAGGCTATCTGCCTAAGAGGAGGGATGTCTTCGTGGACGACGTTCTAAGGGAAACTGACTCGTATACACGTTACACACGGAGAAAACCACGAAAACGAACCTCGGACCGAACTACCAGTGTTCAGCGACTTTACCGCTCGGCCGCTAGTGGGCCCACCCAATTTATGAATTTGCAGGCTTGGATATTTTTAAATCACCTTTAAAAATTAAATTGGTTAAATGCAACACGCGTTCGAAGCATATATTTCCCTTCTTCCTGAGTAATTATTGAATTCTCTTCCGTTTATAAAGCGTGTATATCTTAAATTGCATATAAGTATCTTCCAAGTTAAATTTTGTTTAATTTAAATTTCGAAGGTACACTGCGGAGAAAAAAAAAGGCAGTACTCTATCTCTTCTACTGGGCCGAATGACGAAATTCAACTTGCTTTATTCATGTCTCAAAAAAGTGACTTAAGATATGTATTAGAGTTATATATAGCATTGTTCTTATACGGGTATTTTGTCACAAAATCGGACTTTTTCTGAAATGACATGCCACTATATTTCCATATTTCGATTCTACGACTCAAATTATGCCAAACCGCGAAGATTTGTGAAAATGGTAAGAGTAGGTATTAAAAAATTAGCTCTGAAATTTATATTTTAAATTATTTTCATAATTTTTTCGAAAACAATTTTGAATTATAACCTATAGATGTTTTACATCATCTTAAAGCAGATATATTTCTAAGCATACCTGCAAAACATTAGAGTTTTTTATTCAAAATTTCTAGGATATAAATGAATTTACATATTGGCACGTTTTGAAATCTAGCATATTTGTTATAAGCGATAATAACGGCAAATGTAGTTTACGCATTTTGTTAAAATTATTTGAAAGTATGAGCGACGGCTTTTTTCCGCTCGTCTACAATGAAAAAAAAAAATAAATGAAAATAAGTTGGTATAAATTAAAAAGTTCCCTAAGCTTTTTATTATTGGCTCAAACTAAAAAAAGAAATGGACCAAGATAAATTTTGCACCCCGTTTTACAAAATTTAATATTTAGGCATAATTTGAGTCGTAGAATCGAAATATGGAAAGAAATTGGCATATCATTCCAGAAATAGTCCGGTTTTTATGCTCTAATACCTATGTTATAACTATGCTTATATATAAATCTAATATATATCATAAGTCACGCTTTCAAGACATGAAAAACGCAATTTGAATTTCGTCAATCGGCCCAGTAGAACAGAAGGTATAAAATTGTCCGCTTTTTTCCCGCAGTGTACATTTTGTATGACTGTTGTACAGTAAAATCTTCTGTATAGAGCTGTTCGTTGAATCTATATTTTGAATTTCATATCTTTTTCAAATTTCTTAAGCAGATTATCAATAATGTTGACAAGAGAGACATACACATAAAATCTAGACCGCTATGTTGATGGCTGCAAGGAAATATTTAAAGTTTCTTTTAGTTTATCAAATATTGCTAGATTGTTTGTTCTCGAAAAAAAAAACTTATACGCATTGTATTATATTCAATACGAGCAATCATACAAACGTACAATCTTTCATTTTCAAAATTATCATTTTACGGATAAAGAAGCTGCAAAACTTTAGTTGCGTTAATACGTAAGTATCAAATACTGCAACAGATTTAATTATGTTCTTTAGAAACTGGTCTTTCATAATTTGTCTACAATTTAAAATTACAGTTTAATAAAAGATACAATAAAATAATATTTTCTTAAGTTTGGAAAAATCACATGGTATAATTATGATTCGGGTGTTTCCATATATCAGCAAATAATTTTATTCTCTTCCATTGCCTACATTTTAATTACATCTTTTGGCTTGAAATTTTCCAGAAGCAGTTTGGAATATGATTTTTGCTCTTATTATTTGGCATTCTGAGTTATATATCTTCTATATACATAAAGAAGTTGTTTGCACATTTTTGGACGATTTTGCTTTGCTATTAAACAAATCTGCCTTGAAAATATTTTTAACTTTAATTATGTTTTTGAAAACATCATTTATTGTGTTCTATGTTGTAGTGTAGTTTTCCTGCAAAATAGCGCTTTTAAAGACGCAATAGATGGAAGGATTTCAGTTCGTATTCAGTTTTTAATTATTGCTGTGAAAGCCATGGATTTTTGATATTTGAAACTACGATAGGTAACACTGTCAAAAAAAAAAAAAAAAAAAAAAAAAAAAAAAATTAGGTTTGTCTTCAAGGGGAAAAATTGTTCCAAATACATATCGAAAGAAAAAAAAGAATTTTGCTAAGGTAAGATCTTTAATGTTGAAAGAAAATCCGCCGAGTCAAAGGACAGTTCCAAAGTCATTAAAATGCTCAGTGTAAGCAAACTACCTAATGCTAATTTAATTCTTAAAAGGGCGAAAACACCCATCGTCTTTCTCCACGCTGAATTATCGTTTCGCACTGCAGAATTCCTATTAAAAATGTTTATTAGGTCAAAAATGAAAAACTGTTGCCATGTTAGATGGATATTGGGTATTTGGATGACTGTGATAAAAAGAGATCCTTTTATTATCACCAGAGAAGAGGAAAAATATCTTAAAACATGATTAAAAGAATCTAAAGATTTTTCAAAGGGATTTAGGATTGTTTATTGGTTTTTCAAATAACGGCAAATTAAAAGTGAAGAGTATGGAGAAGATATTAAGATCAACTCCACACATTATCTGGAACACATTTCATACCCAATTTTCAAATATAAAATACTTTCCCTTTACTCACAATGCCCTCAATCAGCAAAACTGAAGCAAGATAAAGCAAGCAACCAGACGTCAAAATCCGCTGTTAATTTCATGGAAAAATGGAATAAGAAACTGATATCAAGAACATACTTTTCACTTATATCCTTACCAAATCCCCTGATGTATTATCCATAGAGTTTTACACTTTTGCACTTTTAAAAAGGGATTTTCCAAATCTCGAGCTATAACTGTCTTTGGACTTCGGAAAGCTGTTCAGGAGGATGGGGATAAAATATACCTCTTCCGTTACTATAAAAAGATTTTACTGTGTTTGAAATTACGGTGTAGAACATGGGGAAGAATGAAGGTTGATTATTAAATAGGGCATATAAACACAAACATTTTAGGTAAAATAATTTTGTAAATACAATGAAAATCATCAAAAAAAAAAAAAAAAGCGAACGGCTTTTGTTACTATAAAACTCTAATTGTAGTATATATGCTCAAGGAAATGTCTAAACTTTAAATGAAATTTTGCTATCGACCACACTAACAACTGAGGAAAAATTTTTAAAAATAGTTCTACAAATCAGAGCCTATAAATATAATTAGAACAAAATTAGTAAAAGATATGCATGTTAAATTTTAGAATCAGTTTACAAATCTTATGTTTTTGTGATTGTATATCTTCTTTGATGCCGTTGTTTTTTTAATACCGTTAATAGCAAAATACTACCGTAGTCATACTCTTTACAAATGTTGAACCATATAAAATTTATAGCTCTTGAAAGCCATTTTCTGTTTCAGAAATGAGCTCAATTTTCTCACTGATCTAATTGAGAAAGGATACATTTTGCAATATTGACAGCCACCAGTTGTTTTAGCCTCTTTGAGAAATTTGTCTCAAATTCTTGCTTTTTTGCCAACTTCTTTATGGGGATAAGATATATATAAAGCAGAATTGAACAGTTATCATTCGTACATAATAAATTTATTTAATTCTTTCTGATCTCTCAGCTCTAGGTAAGGACGACATTTGCGAGAAGCGGAGTTGGGAAGTATGTGATCCTGGTGTTCCTTTTGTGTTTCCAAGCAACGAGAAAGAGTTCGACGAGGAATGTCAGTAAGTTGTTTAAATTATGAAATTTTTTATTTTCCTCCATTTTCTTAAGTATACGAGATTAAAATTTAATTAAAATTTCCTTAATGCAAAGGATGTGCGTAACAATGCAATGTTAATAGAAAACGAAATATTCAGAATAGAAAACGAACTATTCAGAATTATATTCTGTAAACCTAAAACTCTAATAACAAATAAATCATTTCAACTCTAAAATTATCTGAAAGTAATGACGGATTTATCTAACTCAAGATATATACCGAATCTCTCTGCTGAACTACCAAAGCGGACGATCCGGTTTGGAATTCCTAGCCAAAGCTTCACTTTTTGGTTATTCACCGACTCTTATTGTTTCCTTTGGAATCAATTGGAAGTATAGGTTTGGAATTAAATTATAGTATTCTAGGCAAAAAAATAAACAGTCATTTTAAAGGGATAAATACAATTCGAATATTTTTGCAATTCTGACATACAAATCTACGTAACTTGTATTTAACACGATGACCGCCAAGACGAATTTTGGATATCTCACTTAAAAATTGCAGCATGCTTTCATAGTAATAAACCGGAGTTTTTTAATAATAAAATATTGCGTGTCATGACTATATAAAACTGACTTTTCAAGAGATCAATCACATACTTAATAATAATAATTTATTAAAAAATAAATGATCGCTGAAGCTCTATGATCCATTTCATGAACCTCTTCTCCAATTTAAGAAGATAAAATGAAAGCATTCTGTCGATAATTGTTGCTTTAGAATTTTCTTCAAACAAATACCGAAGGGATGAAAAATTTTAACGTCGTGCCAGAGGAATTTTTGAGGTTTTTATTCTCTAGCTTATTAGTTCGCAGTTTACTCTTCTGATCTGGACTCACTACTGGTGACAGAATGTGTTCTTATATCATTATATTTCTTATTAAACATCACGTTCTTCGTGTGTACGCCACGTATAATTAAAAAATTAGTTCATAAGCAAATTCGTAAATTTTTAAAGAAAGCATATGCTTAGAATTTTCGCTACAGTATTAAGAACTGCCGCGCATTTTTTAGTCCCGAAAAGCCATTACTTTTAAGCTTAATGTTTTCATGGAACTGTTTTTGTTGTCGGTTCCACTTTTCAAATAACTAGCGGCTATCGCGACTGGCTGCTGAACATGAATACTGTAAATAAAAGATATATGAAACTTTCTACAAATTCAGCTAGTTTTCTTACACTAGTCCATCTCCTAACAAATAACAGCGATAAAGAATTGCATTTATTGCTTTTAAATCCGTTATTTCTTTAGTTAATAATAAGCAGATTAAATTTAAGAGGAAAGTTAAATATATTACAATTCGTCAAATATCAACAATATAGCATATTGAAGTTAATATTTTATATTGCGAATCTTTACATTTCTCATTCCTCTTTAGTTTTAAATTTTGCCATTCATATTTTAAATCGCTATATTATTTCTTTGAAAATAATAAATTTGTCAGCATTTTATGGGAATATTTGAAATGTGGTACGGAAAGAAACGTAACGTTTGAATCTGGTGTTGGTGTATTTAATTATGGCAAAGCACACGAGGGCTATCTGCCTAAGGGGAGGGATGCCTTCGTGGAGGACTTTCTAAGAGAAACTGGCTCGTATACACGTTACACATGGGGAAAACCACGAAAACGCCCATGCAGCCAGCCCGTTCGCGAGATTCGAACCTCGGACCGAACTACCAGTGTTCAGCGACTTTACCGCTCGGCCGCTGGTGGGCCTAACGTTTGAATCTAAAAAGAAACTACGTAAAATAGTCAACTTCTTTTGCAGGCTGCTTTGATCAATATGAATTTTTTTTACACAGAATTTCAGCATAATATCTGTAATTTACTGAAAGTATTGTTTATGTTATTCTTTGTAATAGGTGATGATAAAAAGCTGGAATTAACATAAAAACTCAGTTAGATGATGATTGATTTTAAATTAAAACAGAGAGCGCCATATCCGCTTGCCATGGAAGGGATGACTTCGTGGAGAAAGTTCAAAGCAACTGACTCATATTCACGTTATACATCGAAAAACTCTCAAAAACGTAGCCATCCCATTCATAGAACTGCTGTCTGGAACGAGCTGATAAAGTTTCCGTCCATTCAGTAGTAACTGAACTTCCTTAAATATATAATGAATAATTTTATTATTCCATCTATCTTTATTTACAAAGTAAAATTAATTTTAGTACTTTACCGTTTCGCCGGCGCAAATCTCCAATAAAGCAGACTTTATTGGCGACAACATACAATATACATAAATAACAAATGTTAAAGAATTTTAGTTCATAGAAATTTTTATTTTGCATTTTAATATCGTTTAAAATTTTGTAAAAAGCCAATAAATAAAGACAATAAATTTGTAAAAAGACGTTAATTTAAGAATTTACTATACTTTCACGAATTTACTATGCATCCTGATTCGCCGGTTCGTATCGCTTGACCCCAAGTGATTTCATCTCACGTAAACTAGACTACAAAAATCTAATTTTCTCAGTAATTATCTACATTAATTTCAAGTTAAATCTTCATTTGGAATATAAGTTTAAATGCAAGAATTATTTCAATTCGTACGAATAGTTTACTCAGAAATTATGTAAAACCGCAGTGCTTTACTTCGCTAGTTCCTTCTTATTAGAATGGATAAATTTAGCCCTTGACTTTGCCTTTTCTATATTTTCGCCTTCGGGTGAGCGGTGTGATTGCATCCTTAATGGACTTAATTACCGCGAATAGCTTAGGGCATAAAACTGAACTATCTGGAAAACATTCTATGTAATTGTATGCCAGTATTGAAAGAAACAATCTATCTGATAAGAAATGGCTGCGACTTGTTTTGAAAATGAAGCGTAGAAGGTTACCAGTGAAGATATTCCGTTTGGCATCAGTTGTACCATTACTGGCGACTTTATCGCCGGCAAAACGGAAAAGTACATTAATTTTATTTAATTAACCTAATTCATTAAGTTAATTATTACTACAGTAATTCACAGCTTAATCGCTATATCTTCGTCAGCGAAAGAAGCAAAGGTAATTGTTAATCTTCGAATAGATCACTGTTTATTTGTTGTTGGTGTCGTTATCGCTTTGTCCCTATCGTCATTTTTATTGCTGAATGCTTACGAATCTCATTTTTATGACATTTCTTACATCGTAGCCATTTAAAAAAAATAATGTTCAATAGATTGTTGGCAAATATATTTGTAATCAGCATGTCAAATACTGAGTGCTATAGTAGCAATATTAGAACTTTGACTACAATGTTTCCCATCAGCAGCTGAGCGGAACGATCCTTAAGCCCTGTTAGTTCGACCCGGGTTAGTTTCATTTGAGACCACCAGCGATCGAGCTTGGAGAGTCGCCGAATACTGGCAGTTCTGCCTGGGGTTCGAATCACGGACAATGCTGCACGGGCGTTTTTCTGGATCTCCTAATTTCTAACGTGTATAAGAGCCAGTTTTCTTTAGAAAGTCTTCCACGAAGGCATCCTTTACCTTAACCAGATAACTCTAGAATGCGTAGCTGTAGTTAAATAAACCAACCAAATCAGCACGGGTAAAATCTCGCTGAAAGATTTAGTTGCATGGGGGACCTCGAGATTTTCGTTCACGTGTGAAAAGCATTAACAGCCAGGTTCTCTTAAAATTTTCTCCGAAAAAGGCACTTTGCCCCGTTAACAGGTACTTCCTGTATCATACTTCAAATAGCCATAATTCAAATAATCATTAATCTTAATCTTGATCATCAATAAAGTATGTTGCTATTCTATACAGGGTACAAGTGAAAGCTAGGTCAGCACCTCAGTTCCATAGGTGATAACGGTTGCTGAACTTAGTTAACTACTAAGCTCTTACGCTCAAATTTCCGGTTAGAAGGTCAGTTATCTCTCTTTCCCTACCGCTAACCTCTCGACAGAACTTCTGGCTTGCCATGAAAATTTAGTTTCTTCCCACAAAAACATTCTACATGCTTATAAACATCCATGCTTTTTCAGGATTCGAGCAGGGGCCCATCCGGCAGTCGGCATCAGTAATCTTTACACCGGGAAGGTTCTATAGAATACATTTTAATGCATGCAATTAGGTTTGATTCGATTGATAAAAATTTCGCAAAATTCTAAAGTATCTGTGCATTTTAAATCATTGTCCATTTTTCCAGTATTGCATTGGACGAGACGAAGTGCAGACAGGAACATGCAATCAAATGCGAAACAGACGAGCTTGAAGAGGTTAATGGAATTGTTGAATTTCTGCAAGATGTCTGCCGCAAAGGCTCCAGCCTTAATGAAGGTAGTGTTTATTTATCTTTTATTCTTTTTGCAACAATGTAACGCCTGTAGTTCTCGTTTCTCATCTATAATTTACTACTATAGTATATATAGTATCACACCATTTCAATGCCAAACACTCTTTCTGTTAGACGTAACGCGTGTAATTTAACGTTTTTATAGAAATTATTTTCTTACTTGTTATTCCGTCGATCGTGAGAGTTGGCTGTCATCAAACCATGGAAGTTGGAAGAGATCCCACCAATTCTGCGCCAGTCGTACGCCTGGAATGCTGAAGTAAACGACACCCCTTTATTTATTATGTAACCAATATTTCAACTCTTCGTTTTTTTGCTCTTTTTAAAACATTACATCTATTTCTACTATTTTTATTCATCTACTTCTACTATTTCTAATGTTTAGAACATTATGAATACGAACTCCTCCCGTGTAAGTGTTTCAGTCTGTAATTGTTTAGTTGGTCGTAGTCAGTAGACCTCATCTTGCCCATTAATATACAGCTATTTCAATAGTACGAGAGATGTTTTTTGAGTAAGGACCATTTAGAAATAAAAACCAAACAAAATTTTCGAAAACCGAATATATTGTCAAAGTCTACATACGTTTTTCTATTTTTCAACATAGTTGCCAAGTTTGTTTAAACTTATCATACCTTGAAACTAGATTTTGAACACCCTCTTCATAGAAACTTTCCACTTTCTCCGATAACAAAGAGGTCACGGCCGTTTTCACATCGTCGTCATCGTTGTATGGGTTCCCGCCGACATGATGTTTAAGATAGGGGAAAAGATGAAAATCGCTCAGTGAAAGGTCTGGGGGTCTGAGTTTTGAAAGGAATAATAAATTACAGTTTCTTTTTTGTCGTTCCGCTTGCGTATTATAAAAAGAAATTTTAAAAAATATGATTTATTATTCCCTATTCTGAATTTCTGTGGAATAATTTTTAGAAACAGATAAAATTAAAATATGTGTATTTTCCGCTCAACAGCGAAATTGTCGCTAAGCAACACGATTTAACGCCAATTATGGATAAATGTAATGAGTAAATTATATACATACAAAAAAGACGATGAAAGGGGACAGTTCTATCTTTAGCTGCCGTTCTACTTGGCCAATAGACTAAATTTAACTTACTTTTTCATCTTGAAATTATGATTTACATGCCTTGAAAGCGCATATATCTCATATGAGTGATGAAGTCCCGATTGATTTTCGAAAAGCAACGTTTTGCAACATAAATGTGAGAATAAAAATAACCAAATTAATTAATAAAAAACTTTTTAATGAAGCCAAATGTTGATAACATTGTATATTTACTAGAAAAAAGTAGTTATTTGTAGAATAGCACATCATACGTTTTTTACAGAAATGGCACCTGTGATATCATCCCTTTCTTCATCCACCGCCTCATAGAGAAATAACTCCACCTTCTTGTATTTTTAAACATTTTTTTCACAAACACAAAACTAATACTAAACTACAATACTAATAACTGAAATATATAAAGTAATAAAAGTGAATTTCGGTTTCATTAATGGCTCCCACGAGCCTTCCGTATGACCTCTTTGTCGGTCTCCCTCTTGGAAACTAAACTTTTGGCGCCTCTCCAGACTGAGAGTTAGCGCCCTCTATACATCTTGTTGATTGGCGTCACCCATACATCACACCCCCCATCCAATATTGAAATAGGGTGAAAGCCTATTGAAATATGACAAGTTATGTTGACGTCAAACAAAAGAGTTACATACCTACTAAAGTCTACAAATCAATCGATACTGAAGTTGAAAGATATATAACACAATACTTATATACAGGTTAGTTCTACACGCCTACTACAAGACTTCTTCTAAAACTGTAATATATAAATGATTAAAAATTAGTATTCAAACAATTTCTAATGCAATAGAATACTTAAAGCGTCTATGATATACTTAAAAAGTCTCTAGGAGAGTAGCTGAAAAAGAAACACAATACACATAAAAAAATAATAATATTAAGAGTTCATAAATGTCTATGAAAAGTTCTTTCTTTCACACATGTCACTCAATAGTATCTAGTCTGGACAACGCATCAGCATTGCTTAACTTAGCACCTGGGCAATGTGAAATTGTAGTATCATACTTTTGTAATGCTAAAGCCCATCTCTGTAACTTAGAAGATTGTGGTACGTTCTTTGTGATGAAAGTTAACGGATTGTGATCAGTTATCAGTTCCACAGGTGAGCCAAAAATCCAAGTTTCAAACTTTTTCAAGCTCCAAATAACAGCATAAGTTTCCCTCTCGATAGTTGGCCATGCTTGTTGTGTTTTGGTAAGTTTCTGGCTGGCGTAACTAATCGGGTACATCTTTCCGTTTTTCCTTTGAGATAAGCAGGCTCCGAATACGTGGGCGAATCAAAAGAATTGGGAGAACTTTCATGATCGACGGAATAATGTGTAAATACCAGAATGGTCAGAATTAAAACTAATTGGCAAATCAGTCAACTTTCATGGTTCGATAGTAACCAACTTTCACGTGAGTAGAAAATATTGTATTCATTTCAAACTGCGATATTTTCAATTTTATGTTTTTTTACAATATTTTTGATGTTTTAAAATTTTATTAATCAATTCTTCTGAAGAATGTTAAAATATACTTTGAGGTCCATAAACTGCAAACTTAAAACATTTAAACTTTTAGAACTGATTTAAAATTGATTTATATTAAATAGCATTTTTCTGTCCAACAGTTCTTCGGCCAAATATTGGATGCATAAAAGAAAACGTCATCAAAGACTGTTCCGAAAACGTGAGGACAGTGCACAACACTTACAGAGATTACCTGAACACCACGAGTGAAGAATTTTCTGATGAGGAATGGTTGAAACTCATGTGCATGTAATTATACTTCATATTCTCCAGTCATGCCTTTTTAATTTTCTAATTTTAACGAAACAAAAAATCTGGCTTTCATGTTGAAACAGAAGTCCAGTTATATCTTCATTCTGAAGACAACATTACTTTTAAATTACTGCAATTTTAACATTTCATTTAAATCGCTAGTGCGCAATGTTTCTCACTGAAACATTTCATATTTTTAAAGTACTTTTGACTTGAAGCTATACTATTTAACCCTTTGCGCCACAGAGTGTTCGGTCTGGACACACCTAAGAATTCTGTACGTACAGAAAAATTGAATAAAAAAGGATTTATAGGTTTCTCCGAACCTTTTTTATTTATAGTAAAGGGCAATTCAACACAAACCAGTCCATATATTTTAGCCATGTTTAGTTTTCTACGAGCCTTATTTTTCAAAGAACTTTTCCAGATTTTTGTTAGGGTATAAAAGGAATTGTTCGAAAAGAAATGTCTATGTTATTTTTTGGCTGCATGTTAGTCTTCTTATTCTATATTAGTTTTAAATTTTTACCTTGAAATCTTGCCTAAAATCAAACGGCGAACCCTAGGTGTGCCCAGACCGGGCTCACCGATCATCTAGGACAACTGAGACTCTGTATTCTTTGTTTCTACTCCTCTCATCGGTCAGTTCATTGACAAGAATGCTCGTTTTGGGCACACCCACAGAATTAAGACGATAAGTGCTATCTTCACAAAATTTTACTTGTGTAATCTTCTAGGCCTAATTAGACAGCCTACCTTTTTTTTCTTTTTTTTTAATCAAAACTCTGACTTTAAAAGGTAGTGTGCCGGAAGGGGTTAAGTAGAAATACAAACACTTCGCCCTTTCATTTGTGTGCGGTTCCTAATATGATTCCTAACTTTAAAATTAAAAATCTCGATAAATTTTTGTCGCATGAGAATTACATATTTATATTTTGATTTTTATATGATCTACCCGAATGTGATTAAATGAATCAGAAGTAAAACGTTAGACGTTATTTTTAAAGGATTATAACTGGAACTTAAAACATAACTAGATTATAATATAACTGGTAGTATATTTCTGCTGCCAGCGGATTTGAAAATAAAGGCAGGACCTTATGAATACGGTTTGTAAACCAGGGATGCCCCATTCATAGTGCACGAGCTGCATATGTTTCTCGCGACCTTTTGTGCGGCTCCCGCTGCACGTCTGGCCCCATTCCTCAGTCTAATGAACTACCAAGAGAAGAAAAGGGAAAGTTGAATTCTTGTTACGCCAAACTCCTGGGCAAATTCTGTCATTAAAGAACTAATGGAATTGACATGTACCAAGGTACTAAAAACCCTACAACCGAAATTAATCTTTCCCTTTCAAAACTTGTATCCGTTAACAACAGACTTAGCATCTGCCTTGATTGGTTTTGCTGTTGGTTTGATCACGTTATGTAAGAATGATTATGACTTTCCAAACCTTTTCAACTGCCACTGCATCACACATCAGCAAACATGATGAGCAAAAGATTTACTTTTTTGTACATGTGATGCAAGCTGTTTTAAATTTGTAAATTTTATTGACGTCAGACCGCTTCAAAATAAATCGTTCAAAGTGGTCAATAATGAACTTGATGCTAAATATGAAATTTTAAAGTTCATTCTGAAATGAGATGTCATAGTAGGGGGGAAGTCCTACAATGATTTTTAGATCTTTTCCAGAGACAAAAACAATTTTAGAAACCAGAAACGAAACTTTGATCATATGTGGTTATCTAATTTAGTCTTCTCTACAGAGATGACAACGAAAATGAATAAACTCAATCTTGAACTGCGCGGCAAACAAAAGAATATTATTTATTGGAATCATAAACAACTGTATATCGAAGCTGAATTTGTGGGTATCCCAAATAAAGCAATTTAACTTTTGCTTCTTTACAAATTTGGAGAGCTACATAAAGATATAAAAGAAAATTGAAACAATCAGGTGTTATGAAAATACCGTCGCATTTAAACATAATTTTCAAATTAGAGTTCCTAATTTTCACAAAATTTAGCCCATTACCTCATTCATTCCAAATCCATTTGTTTATACTACTATTTCCGATATATGCCAACATATTTTAAATACATTCTATAAAACCCTTTTCTTTATTTCCAAGAGGAGGTGTGCAAATAAGACCTCCTAGATTAAAATTCAAAGGTAGAAATATAAAATTTAAAGAAGAAATTAAATATTTAGAAATAGTACTAGATAGAAAAATGAATTTTATCTCGCATTTTAAAGAAATACAGAGAAATATTGAAAGAATTCTCACATATTATATAAATACCTTCACAGCAAATACTTTGATCAGTAAAAGTAAAATATTGAAAGAAATATATATGAACATTATTTTACCCAAGATTATGTATGGTATTGGTGCATGGGGTCTCCGGGCGAGGGAATTAATAAGACTTAGAACGAAACTGGACTCTTTGCAGAGATGCTGGCTGCTAGCTAATGCAATGTCCTTTCGGACTGTCTCGACGGAAATTCTATGCATTATAGCCGGTGTGCCCCCTCTCTCGATTTTTTATCAATATTACTATGATAAATTTTTATTGAGCAATGGCCTAAAAGATTTTAATGTATATGATGATTTTAAAATTTATACAGATTATATTAAATATCCAATTTTTATTGATATTAACCCGAGAAATGTGTTTGGTGTTGGTTTTGATTGTGAAGAACCAAATATGGGTGAAATAGAAATTTATACAGATGGCTCTGGGTTAGAGGGGGGCGTCGGTTCAGCTTATACTGTTTACTTTCATGGCTTAGAAATAGATTCTATAAAACTGAAAATGATTGATACTAATGCTGTATACCAGGCTGAAGTAGCTGCTATAAAAAGAATTGTTGATCTGGGTAGATAAAAATTTAACAAAAGAGACATTATATACATATTTATTCGGATGCACTTTCTGTCTTAACGGCGCTCTCCAGCCCGGAGCCAAAAAGTAAGAAAATAGAAGAAATAAAGTCATTATATCGCAAGGCCAATGAGAGACATTATATAAAATTACATTGGATAAAAGCTTATATTGGTGACCTAGGTAATGAGAGGGCGGATACACTGGTTAAAGAGGCTGCCCTGGGGGATGGTTTAGATTACAATATTATAAATCCGGCAAGAAGGAAAATGATTATAAAAATGAAAGACTACTATTATAAACAATGGAATCAAACGTGGGAAAATTCAACAAGACGAAAGTCTTATTTAAAAAAATAGAAAAATAAATAGAAAAATGAAAACCTATACAGATATAGATGTGAATCAACTTATCACAGGTCATGGAAGATTTCCACAATATTTAAAGAGATTCCACCTCCAGGGCAACGATAGATGCCTCAAATGTGATCTTATTGGAGATGCGGAACATTTCGTTGAGATATGTACTCTTACCCGAGGGGTGAGGGCAAAATATGGAATAACAGGATTAGATATAACACAAATGAAATATGATAAATTATTGAAATTTTCACAAGATGTTATGACTGTGATAAATAAAAATAAAAGTATTGTGGGCATTGGTTATGTGTAGTCTCTTTTTGTTTTTGTGAGAGAATTAAAATTGGATGTTACCATTTTTTGAGTTTTTTAAAAGAGATTTTAAAAGGCTTGCAACCATTTGAAAACTTGCAACCATTTTTTTTTTTTTTTTTTAGTTTATTATGTTTCATTTTTCTATCTTTTATGTTGCTCGGGGCTCGGCCCTGGTTTCGCGGGAGCATTTGATATTTTATGGCTTTAAAAATTAAGAATTGTCTGTTTTTTTTAAGATTAAAAATTTTAAAATTAAGAATTGTGTTTCTTTTTGGGGCACAGTTGGCTCGGTGACTGCCTCGTTTTGTGTTAGACGGGCCTTCCCCTTTGTGGCTTTATGGCTGATATGAATCGGCTAGGGGGGTCGGCCCATTACATAAAGGTGATTGAAAGCTTAAAAGCAAGATTTGGCCTTGACGAAATGCTTGTGGAATTTTATGTACGCAAACTTCAGAGTTTAAATGTGTAAAACGCTACGAATGGTAAAACTAAAGGTAACATAGTCCAGCTTTATGACAAATTAAAATTCTATTTCAGGTCACTTGAATCTATTGGTATGACTTCTGATAAATATTCTGTTATGTTGTTCCTTTTATTTGAATCTTGCATACCGGAAGTATTACTTAGAGTTTGGTTAAGGAATCTTATGTTGAACAAATCTGAAAATTCCTATTCTGTTTATTTATCGATATTATTGTTTTTCTTCGTACAGAATTTGAAAGCGAAGAGCGTGTTTCAGTTGCGAAAGTAGGGATTAAATCAAACGATATGTCTCCTAGAAACATGAATCTCAAAGATGTTGAATTATATCCCATAGCTAATGATTTACTTTCTAATATAAAGAAAGGAACTGCTTTTCACTGTTTATTTTGTAGGAAAGTTCATGAGACTAAAGATTGTTTTAAAAGTAATAATCTTACACTGGAAGAAAAACAAAGTAATTTAAAGTGTAATAAAGATTGTTTTTCGTGGTTGAAACCAGGTCATTTATCAAGAAATTGCAAAATATATGTTAAATACGTAATTTTTGATAAAACCGAAAACACAAAAGGCAATGAATATTTTTATAGGGATAAGCACCTGTACTGTGTACAGACTCAAGTAAAATTTATACCAGAACTACTATTATGCTCTAGTTAATATGTTACGTTTTTTGTCCAACAGGAGCCTTGCCTATGATGTTGCGTGCGCAGCTAATGCTGTTTCAGTACCCTGTGGCAGTATGGTGAAGGATGCCGTTATAGAAAGTAACCGTCATGTTGACTGGATGGAAAAGAAGACAATGTGTACAAGAAGCGTGAGAGAAGAAATTACTAAAGATATCCCAGCTATGGATATCAAGCTTGTGGAAAAGGTAATACTCGAAGAATTACTCTTGGACGTCTGAATGAGCAAATGGATAAGACGCATCCTGGAAGAAACTCATTTTGCGTACTTTGATTAATACTTGAGTACTTATAAGCACAGAATTAAATACAATAAATAAAATTTGCAAGCACATTCGATTATTTCAAAATATTTCTTCCTGTTATTATGAAACATTTCTTCCTGTTTTAGTGAAGCAATTATGTTTTCTAAAGTCTGTCTCCGAAGCGAAGACACTGAGCTGCACGAGTTGCGATAGGTGGGCATTGCTGTGAAGCACGTATTACAGTAAAATACTTTGTGTATGATTTATAAACAGTAGAATCTGGTCTCTGTAGCAGATTTAGCATAAACCAGGCTGCACCACTGGGATACCTGCTACTCTACACCCCCCAAAAAAATCGGGGAGAAAAAGGAAATTCTCATTGATTCAGCAAAACTGAGGCCTCTCCGAGCCCTTTACCTAATTTTAAAATAAGAAAAATAATTAAAATATTATAATATTTACAATTAGTTATTGACAGGAGAAAATAATTATTAAATATACGAGTATATACAAATAAAAATCTACAGAAATCAAAACTAAGCAAACTACGCACGATGAAAGTAAGAGAAAAAAAGGTCTGCTCTCGCTGAAAATCAAATAGCTAACTTAAAACCGGGGCCTTCAAAAGCAAAAACATAAATAATAAAAGCAAATATAAATGAATCTGCGCTGTCAGCCCCCTCCCGTGTTTGAAGCACGAAACCAGATTCTGTGATTCCATCCCACGTGACAGGCGCTACCACTACAGTGTGTTCAGTCCGAACACACCATACATTGAAGGCTTCGCTATACGCAATATCTCAAAGATAAAAATTAAAAGTAATACAGAATAGGCAGATTAGCATACGAACAACAAAATTATATAAAGATTTTTTATTGCTTTTCTTTATATTTAAAGAAGAATCTAAAACATTTCTTTGAAAAATCAGTATCTTTAAAAACAGAATACATCTCAAAGTTAATGATTTGCTTGGTGTGCTGCTGTCATCTATTATTCATAAAAGAGATTAAATCTAATCATTAGTGTAGTTTTCGTGATATTTATCGATTATTTTCAGTGTCTAAAGAGGAAATATTTTTGGCATGTTGACTCCGAACACACTGCGCCGGAAAGGGTTAAACGTAAAGAAACAAAAGACAATAAACTTCTTTATAGCGATATTCATCTGTGTTATTTACAGACTCAAGTATAATTTATGCAAAAGCACTATTATGTTCTAGTTAATATGTAGGTTTTTTTCCCTCCCCTCCAGGAGCTTTGCTTATGATATTGCTTGCGCCGCTAATGCTGTTTCAGTACCCTGTGGCAGAAAGGTGAAGGATGCCGTTCTAGAAGTTGAACGTCGTGTTGACTGGATGGAAAAAAGGACTGGCTGTCCAAGAAGCTTACGAGAAGAAATTGCTAAAAGATATCCCAGCTATGGAAGTCAGCCTTGCAGAAAAGGTGTTGCTGGAAGAATTATTCTTGGACATCTGAAGGAGCAAATGGATGAGACACGCATGCAGGAAGAACCTCATTCTGAGTACATTGATTAATGTTTGATTACTTATAAGCACAGAATTAAATGCAATAAATAAAATTTGCAAGTACATTCGATTATTTCAAAATATTTCTTCCTGTTATTATGAAACATTTCTTCCTGTTTTAGTGAAGCAATAATGTCTTCTAAATTAAATCCTCAATCAAAAGGGAAACTTAAGGGGACTCATACACCTTAAAACCATAAGATCTTCGAATATGTAATTGTTGCAAGAATAACTTATTTATTTTAAAAGCAATCACTTCCCACTTTTCACAGCTGACTACAGAATATAGCTTCTTTCTGAAATAGTAATCAGAAAGTTTGTGTTGCCACAAATATTTTTATAATTTAATCCGCTTTGTGACAAAATGTTCTGTTATGTTTCCAACGTGCGCGTACAGTTTAAAACATTCTCTTCCATAATTTAATTCCATATTTAATATATATAACATTTGGAAACTACTGGGAACCAAAAATCCTAAGATTTTCATGTTAAATTTTTATTTTATTTGGAGTTGAGTTTATAAAATTTATTTTATTAAAAAAATTTGTAATGTTTTCGCGCATAAAATGTTTTAATATTAATATATTCATCAGATTTTTGGTTCAGTTGGAAAATAGTGCCCACATAAAGAATTCCAAGAAATTTAAAGTTACCATTACCCATTTTTTTAAATATCGTGCGCGCAAGGGGGAAACATGACGAAACATTTCGTCACAAAGCGGATTAAATTACAAAACTATTTGTGGCAACACAAACTTTCTGGTCACTAGATCTCAAAGCAACTATATTATGGGGTCAGCTGTAAAACGTTGGAAGTAATTGCTTTTAAAATAAATAAAATATCCAATTCATTCAGAGTCTACATATTCAACGATTATAAGGGATTTGAGGTGTATGAGGCCCCTTAACACCAAAATGGTCGTTTTCCGTTTATTGGTAGCTAGCATCTAGTCCATGAGAGAAAACTCCGTTTACTTGAAAATTCCTTTCTCGGTCTAAAACTAATGTCTAAAACAAGGTCTAAAGCGACTAAATTTGGCACTTCATTCCAAGCAAATCAAGCTTCACATCGCATAGCTATTATACGCTAGGGGACGCTGCTGAACAACATGCCGAATCTAATTGTTTCGTCGCTATTTTGTAAAACACTGGTAGGCCTCCGATTCTGCAGTGATCTAATAAAAGAACGCTTGAAAATCGCTACTGTATTAAATGCACAGCTACCACCAACATTAAAATATACAGTATCAATTCAAATTTTGTTGCACTGAAATTTTGAGACTTGGCAATAGGGTTAAACAATTGTTAAGTTAAATGATATATAAATAATATTAAAGATTAAACGAAGCTAGATGAGTAAAAATGTAACTCAAACTTTGGGCAACAATAAGCAGTAAGTTAACAGAAGAATTCAGCTCCTGAAATTAATCAGAAACTTCACTATACCATTATGTCTTGGTTAAAAACATTGTAACACATTGTACACTGAGGAAAAAAGAAAACAAAAATGGCATAGTTCTATATCTTCTGTTCTACTGGGCGGATTGACGAAATTCGATTTGTGTTTTTCATGTCTCGAAAGCCCGATTTAGGATATATATTAGAATTAAATATAGCATTGTTCTAATATATGTATTTTGACACAAAACCTTTTTTTTTCTGAAATGATATGCAAATGTTTTTCTATATTTCGATTCTACGACTCAAGTTATGCTAAACTGCCAAGTTTTGTAAAAATCGCACGAGTAGTTTTTAAAAAATTAGCTCGCAAAATTTTAGCTTCTCAGTGTTAATTGAGTTTGTTATTAATATCCCTTTTTTTCTAAGGAAAATATTCATTTACTTGCTTGATTTTTTTATTCATTTTACTTACTTTACTTACTTTTTCATTTACTTGATTCCTTCTTCCAGAATTCGAAATTGAAGCTTAATCCAAATATCATTCGCAGATTTTTTATTTATATTTAAAATTTGTATTTTTAAACATTTTCTATGACTTTTTGAAAAACATTTTGAATTATCTATTTGACACTATAAATATTTTAACATCATCTTAAAGTCTTCATATTTTTAAAGTCTTCATATTTTAAAGTCTTCACCTTAGTCTTCATATCTATTTCTAGGCACACCTGCAAAAAAATTAGTGTTTTTATTCAAAGTTTTTAAGATATACATAAATTTACACATTGGCACATTTTTAAATCTGGCATAATTTTTAGAGCGATAATAATACCAAATGTGGTTAACGCACTTTGTTAAAATTATTTGAAAGCATGAATGGCCGTCTTTTTTCTGCTTGTTTACAATGAAAAAAAAAAGAAAGGAAAATAGGTTGCTCTAAATTAAGAAGGTCGCCAAGTAAATCATTCCTGGTGCAGACTGAAAAAAATGCGCCAAGATAAATTCTTGAATTTTTGCGTAAATTTCTCATCAAAATTTACAAAATTTAGTATTTAGGCATAATTTGAGTCTTAGAAGCGAAATATGGAAAAACCATTGGCATGTCATTTCGGAAAAGGTCCGATTTTGTGTCAAAATACCTATGTTAGAATAATTCTATATCTAAATTTAATATATATCCTAAGTCGAGTTGTCGAGACAGGAAAAATGCATATTGAATTTCGTAAATCGGCCCAGTAAAACGGGAGATATAGAACTGTTGCATTTTATTTTGCGGTGTGTGCATGTAATGCACGTGAATAACAATAAACAAAACATTTCGGACGCCTTTTTTAAATTACTCAAATTAACTCCAAGTTCTCCAGCTGAATGAATATGATACTTTTAAAAATTAACAACTCTTTATTCAGTTAAAATGCAGCCTTAAATTTGCATTGCTAACATAAACAACAACAACAAAAAGATACTACTCAGTTTTAAAGATTACGTAAAAAAGAAATGAATATTTTCTTTAGCAACAATAATAATAATAATAATAAAAAGATAATCTGAAAAATATCTAAAAAGTTTTCAGATTTTAAATTACTTCCAAAGGGGCGTTTTTTTAAACATTTTCTGTGTTTCCTTTATTTATTAAATAAATTTATTAATCCTTTATTTATTCTTTGCACCTGAGCCATTAAATTCAGTTCAAGAGCAATATCGCAAAATAATTTTAAATTGAGCATATCTTTAGAATTTCCGATATGCAGTCTCCCACGCCGCTGGAGATAGAAATAATATTTTTTTCGTAGAGTTTTGCCATTGTTATCTCTGAAATCGTCGAGTTTGTTAATCGAAAATTCGTTAAATATTTACAACATCTGAAATCAATAATAAAACAAATTCCAAATTTCAAATTTGGGCTTTCAGATGCCCATATTCGCAGTAGGGCGAATATGGGCATGATAATTTACTTGGCGACCTTCTTAATTCAAAATTGGAAGGCTCTGGGCACCATTGCTTTTTCACAACGCGAGAAACATACATAGTACATACATTTATGCAGATTCATTATAGGGTGATATTATTGGATGGCAACAGTTTGAAAAGTGATACAACCATTTATAGTGTTTGAACGCAAAATCGCAAAACGGAAACAATAGTTCCTCAGGGAAAAAAGCGCCTTTGGACTAATAATCGTTGCCATTCAACAAAACAAAAGTAATAACAACATAAGTTGAAAATCGTAGTTCAAGAAGTAGATAAGTTCAAATACTGATATTAATTATTTTACTCCGAAGCATAAAACTTCGGAGCAGAAAACTCACTATTACTTTAACTAAAATATAATAATAAATTGCAACACAATCGGCACTAAAAAACAAACGTTCACTTTCTCTCGCGGATAGGGAAAAATTCGTCCCTGCTTTTTACGTTGGCGGAGGGAAAAGGAAAATGTCTTTGATCTTGATTAGTGGAGTGAATCCACGGAACATTGCATCTGTCTTTTCTAATATATTATTTTTATACTCCTTCTCTGAACTCTTTCTAAGAAAATAAACTATGTTTAAAAACCTTTTTCTTCGAGAAATCTGAGAATATCTTTCTTATTTTTTCCCTTCCTTATTCAAAATTTGTGCTTGGAGAAATTGCACACTGAACGTAATCTGAAATAATATTCATTTAACAGAGACAAAGAATCCTATTTTCTTCAGATGATGTTTTAAGAACATACGTGTAGCTTCTATGGATAAGATACTAGAATTGTACGAATTAGACATGCTTTGCATGCCACATCTGCTTGGGCTTGCAAGGATGTTATGTTAATTGACCAACTATTACGATTTTGATCCTTACTATAACGTCTTCTTCGGTATTCCTCACCAGAATACCAATTAGCGTTAAACTGAGAGTTTTGAATTTTAAACAGAGGAAGTTTTTAGCACTCACGCCGCCCTGCTGGAATTCACTAGCTCTAACCAAAAATGATCATTCCACACGCCAGTGAAACATATTCAGTAAGCTTATTGCATATTTATTTGACTCTGTTATCTGAACACATTATCAGCGTTTAAAATTATTTCGTTGTTATTGTTTAACTCTTTGCGGCACAGTGTGTCCGGTCTGGACACACCTAAAAATTTTCTTCTGTACGCACAGAAAAACTGAATGAAAAAGAATTTATAGGTTACTATAGGTTACCCTGAACCTTTTTTTATTTATGGTAGATGGCAGCTCAACACAAACCAGTCCATATATTTTAGGCATGTTTAGTTTTTTAAGACCCTCATTTTTCAAAGAAATCTTCCAGTTTTTTTTTAGGGTATAAAAGGAATTGTTTGAAAAGAAATTTCTATGTTATTTTTTTGGCTGTATGCTAATATCCTTATTCTATATTAGTTTTAAATTTTTACCTTGAAATCTTGCTTAAAATCAAACGGCGAACCCTAGGTGTGCCCGGACCAGGCTCACCGAACATCTAGGACAACTAAGAGTCTGTATTCTTTGTTTCTCCGCATCTCATCGGTCAGTTCATCGCCAAAAATGCTCGTTTCAGCACTCTTTTCGAAGCTTCATTCAATCAGTGTGCCACTTTGGGCACACTCACAGAATTAAAAGGACAAGTGCTATCTTCGCAAAATTTTACTTGTGTACTCCTCTATGCCTAATTAGACTGCCTACATTTTTTAT